TTGTTTTAATTTTCCATAAAGAGCTCTGTTACTGTAGTGTCTCCCATGGACATATTTCAATTTTCCTCAGCTTCATCCTAAACTTGCATATAAGTAATTGATCATTTGTACCATAGTTGATTCCTGGCCTTGTTTTGACGGTGATACTGAGCTTTTTCACTGTCTATTCCTAAGCTCAGTGGTTCAAGCTTATCAGCTGCTCCTCGGAAACCCTATACAGGGTTATTATGGGTAGGAATCGACTTGATGGCACTTCACAATGACAATTCCCACGTTGTTGTTGTTAAGTAATATTGGGTCAATTCTGACTCATAGCGACCCAGTGTACAGTTACTGAGGGGTGGCTGGTCTGTTTAAAACACCTGTCTTCCAGTTTAAACTGACTTTGTAGTCCAGTGCTTATCCTACAGTGCCATAGCAAGACACCATCACTTCCCATATATGTAGTCAATTTGATTTCTATGTATTCCATCTGTGAGGTCCACGTGCATATTCACTATGTTGTTTAAAAAGGTATTTGCAATGAATATGCCATTGGTTTGGGAACATTCTGTCATGTGATTTCCAGCATCAGTTCTATCAATTCTATTCACCAGTAATTATCAATATATCTTGATTTCATATTTGATCAATTTCAGACTGAAGAAATGGGTACAGTTATTTAATTTCATCATCACTGACTTCAGTTGTTGCCTTGTGAAATTGAATACTCATGGTTAAGTACTCTTCCTATTAAGGATTTGATGGTATCATAGACAGCATTGTACTTCAAGATATACCTTGAAATGTTCTTTTTAACAATGAATTTGGCATGATTCCTCTTAGTTAGTAGTTTTCCTCTAGTTGTATTTTGAGTGTATTCAAACCTGAAAGATTCATTTTCCAGCAATATACCTGACAATATTCTTAAGTTATTAGTAATGTTTTCATCGTCTGACTAATATATATATATATATAAACAATGTGCTACTGCTATTTATCGGACTCCTGGTATGGCACTGTGGATTAATTCTCCAGACTGCAAAGCCGTTTGAACTGCAAGGTCGGCAGTTCAAGCTCACCAGCTGCTCCTCGGAAACCTTATGCAGGGTCGCTATGGGTCGGAATTGACTCCACAGCACTTAACAACAACAAAAACTGCTATTTATAAGATTTTCAGTGTCTACATATTCAGATGTAGTAGTCATCCTCACCCTTTTACTAGTTTTTCTTAGTCTGGAAGTTCTGCCGGAACCTTTTCATCATGGATTCCACTGCTTATAGGTAAAGCCTGGTAGCATAGCTTCCAACATCGCAGCTATAACACACATTGACACATTGACAAGGAGGGTGGATTACTTAAATAGATTACTTACATTGCAATCTAGCTGTTGTTGCTGCTAAGATCTGTCAAGTTTGTTGTAACTCGTTGTATTCCTGTATAGGATTTCTGAGGACCAAATGGTGGGTTTGAACCTCTCTCTTTATTGTTATTAGTCCAGTGCTTGTCATACGACACCACGTCTATTATCTCTTTGGTTTATTATTTATTAAGTCTAGATCTGAAACATTGTATCTAAGATTCCATAATTCACAGAACTTTATTCAACACATCATGTAGCATAAAGAATACTCAAAACCAAGAGTATTAAATCCTCTAAAATAAGCAGTGTTTTGTCTAATAAAACTTTGACTGAAGTTTTTGTGTTGTATCAAAATGATATTATACTAAATTTCAAAACCTCTCCCCTGAACAGTAGTCATGATATTTTCTTATGTCTTGAACAATAGTTATGTTTTTTTTTTTTTCAAGCATGCTATATTGGTTTTGGATTGAATAACTTAAGAACACTAACATTTATAAGTTGTGATTAATTTCTATAAAAATTGATCTTGCATAGCTTTAAAAATTCAAGAAATAAATAACAAAACATCTGTTTTCTTTCCCCAAAAGGCGTAATAAAAACGGCATTACCAGACATGAGCAGAGAAAAGAGAGAGCAGTACCAGGTGATTATACAGGCCAAAGACATGGGAGGCCAAATGGGTGGCCTTTCTGGAACCACCACAGTGAACATCACCCTGACAGACGTCAACAACAGTCCTCCTCGGTTCCCCCAGAGTAAGGAAGATTTCTGTACTTTATACTGAGACGTTTCTTCTCTAAAGCTACTAACCTATTTGGTATTGAATGAATAGTTTTACTGCTGTGCTTAGGGGAAACAAAGTCAAATGTAAAAAACAAAAATTACTGACTTACCCAAAGTCAAAAATGATGATGATTATATTAGGAGAAAATAAAGATATAAGGTTCTTTGTTGTTAAGTGTTGTGGAGTTGAGTTTCAACTCATATCAACCCTGTTTCCCTGGAGTGACTGGTGGATTTAAAGTGACTGATGGATTAAAACCTTGTGATTAGTAGTTCAGTGCTTATCCCATAGCACCACACCATGACTCAATGAGGTTATTTGTTGTTGTGTGCCATCGAGTTGATTCTGACCCATAGTGACCTACATAAGGTTTCTGAGGGGAGGCTGGTGAGCATGAACTGTCCACCTTCTGGTTCAAACCGAATTTGCTTTAATGATCCTCTTCTGCCTTTTGAAGAGTTATTAAGTTTTTTTTGTTTCGTTTTGTTTTTATCTTTTTCAGTGGCCCATAGTTTGGATACCTCAGTTACTATGATATCTTAGATATAATAAAGTAGGGTGTAATTTGTTTTACAAAATTAGAAAAACCTAAACAGTTAATACACTTTCAATCATCACCAATTTAAGATGGTTACTTCGCTTTCCATGAAGTTCTAAAACTTCAGACCCCAATTTTTATTAAAAACTGCATCTATTTTGTAGTAATAAAAGTACAAAGGGCCCTATCTTAAACTTATCAAGCAGGGAGTTTTCTATTGTAATTTATAACATTGATTCCAATAAAATAAAGCATTTCTCCAGGCAAAACAAATTTAAAATACTTGATGATTCAGCATGGCCTGGTTGATACATGCATATTATAAATGTTAAATAAAGCTTTACTTAGAAAATTATTAATAATTCTAAATAACATAACCTTAAACTTTGGATTCAGCTTCCTTAAATATAAACAAAGAGTACAATTTGATGAATTTTCAAATGACTTGCAACTCTGCAGTTCTATGATTTAATGTAACTTTACCAAAGTTTGAAACAATAATTGTAATAGTAAAAATTTTCAAGGAGAATAAACTAGACTAAGTACAGTTAGTACAGACATAATCATGTGTGATCCTTATTAAAAACAATAACTATAAATTAATTACTGCCATTTATTCCTATTTTAAATAAATAAGATAATCAAAAGTTGTTGTTATGTGCCGTGGAGTCAGTTCCGACTCATAATGACCCTACACAGGGTTTCTGAGACTGTAAATCTTTACGGGAGTAGAAAGCCTCATCTTTCTCCCGTGGAGGGGCTGGTAGTTTCGAACTGCTGACCTTGCGGCTCACAGTCCAATTTGTAACCACTGTTTAAATTCAATTTTTACCACAGGGTTACTAAGAATGGAATTGGATATTTCACTAACTTGTCCAGTAGGGAGACTTCAAAACCCAGTAGCAACATTTATAAATCCTGGGTTTTAGCCAGCAAGAAAACTGGAAACAGAATAGACTTGGAAGTCCGAGGGACTTAGTTTTCCCTTCTGATTTTCTCATTACTACAGGATTTCCTTGAGCCCTGCCCCTAAGAATAATAAACTTATCTTACACAATTTAGTAGATTAAGTTAATTAGCACACAATACTTTAGGTCTTGTATAGGGCTCAGTGCATGGTACTTTTCAAATATTTCTAACTTTTATGAACATTTTTATACTACTTTCCCTATTGTTTCTTAAACAAGTAGTTTTATTAACAGTAGTATGTTGTTTAATAAATGGCTGAACACTCAGAACATAAAAGAAGCCATGCCTTAATTAAAAGTATTAAAGTTAAAATAGGGCAAACTAGATTGTATATATAAATGTGTAGACTTCTAGTGTGATGCTTCAGGATAAGTAC